ATATATATATATATATATATATATATATATATATATATATATATATATATATATATATATATATATATATATATATATATATATATATATATATTTGATATGGTATTTTGAGTGGAACATTTTTGTAAAGAAAAAAAATTGTTTGAAAAATATGATTTATATTTTTATTAATATTACTACTTTCGAATATGTTTTAAATTATACTCATAATATGAGAAAGTTTATGAGATTTGTTTTTACACGGTTACTTTAAATAATAGTATATGTAATTATTTTATATGGTACCACATGACCATGATATCAAAGCGTATTATAGTAAGTTGTACAAAGTGTATTAAAAATAAGTAAAATTTTAAGTAAGTTGAGATAATTCTTAATTGTGTGGGAATTAATTAATTACTGAATAACGGGGTATTACCTAATTACCTAATAAATAGATAAAAATTTGAAATTTTCCAACCCACCCCACGCGGCAGCTTGTGCCATTCAATCAAACGACTCATTAGTCAATTGTTATATGTGTCACATAAGGAATTTGAGTGGGAAAAAAAAAAAAAAAAGATCATTCCCACGGTAAGAGTAGCACCGTACGTTATCTTCAACTCTCCTAATCTGCCTTTCACTTCTTGTGTTGAATCCAATTGCAAAAGATGGCGAATAATGCGAAAGGGGAGGAAAATACTCCTCGTGGAAATGAGTCGGAAGTTGTAACGCTTACACAGTCAGTATATGCTGCTGCCCCTGGACCAAAACAAGTCGACCTTGTCAAAGATAATAGTGCAGAGGTGGAAAAGATGCTTCTAGAGTGGACCATATACGTGAGATAAGAATTAATGGTAACAGTTTTCATCAAAATGATTTAAAGAAGGAGTAGACTACGTTATTCATCTCACAGGTCATGCAGTTGAATTCATACATCTTCATAAATAGCATTTACTTACTATAGATCAGACTTTCTCTTCTGTTCCATCTTGAGCTTAAGTTGTTGCTTCATTTTTCAAATTCCAACTTTACTCATATTCTGAATAATCACCATATACACTAGAAAGCTAGCTACTACTAACTACTTCATTCTTTTTCTTCTTCTTTCAACATGTTTAACCAAAAAATGAAATTTCGATTAAAGCTTATAATTTAGAAGAACGCGGGTTACTGATAATCGAAAGAATGTATAAAAGAAAGCAATTTGGATAGCAAGAATATAATCAAGAAAGAAACAAGTAAACCAAAGTATATTCAGATAGTGTTTCGTGTCCTTACAATTGATCAGTTATCTCCCTTTTATAGGTACCTTGGAGATATGTGTTTTGCCTCCGTCATAACAAGGCTATTATGGGCAATTAAAGACATTAAATGCTACGTTACATAATCATTATATTTAATACAGATTCTCTAACGTTTTTGGTATTTAATGCTCATTAAATACCGTATCTGGACTCTTGTGTGCTGTCAGATTCATTCTCTTTGATTCTTGGGCTTAGATGACTTGAACAGGTATGAGCGTTGCCTCCGCTCGTGCCTCTTCTTTTGCTTTCTGCTCGTATCTATTGCAACTCGTGCCTTCTTGCCAGTTGTAATTCTTTAACCAGTCTATATGTCACCACACGTCATCTTCATACCTCTTTAATATGTAAATTCAATTTTTCCCAATACACAACACAACATAGCAAGCATCTGATATTGGTTCTAATTACGGCTAGGTGGGGATTGATTATATAGGAATAGGATCTCTATATTATTATTCTAGTTTAGGAGTTTGAGAAAACCTCGTGAAGATAAAAACTACTCATATGGTTAATGGTTAGCTAGGAGTATCATGAGTTCATCGCATATTTAAACTGCTTATTGAACACAGAGCTCGTTAATGTAAGAAAGTTTGCCTCAGGACTTGATCTAATCTTTCTCAAGAGAATCGGCTCAGGTATGTTCAGGTTATCCCTTCTTTCTTTTGGCATGATCCATACGACGCAAACGAAACATGCAAATGCACAACTTTCATAAATGACTCTATTCATAGAAGTATTAGAGGTGCCTATGTTCTTGAATTTCCATGTGTCCTATTATTTTATCATATGTTCATGGGTCTTAGAAAAATACGTAAGTTGAAAAAAGTTTATTTCATGATATTAATCGGAGGCATAATGGTCTTATGACGTACCGAAAGATTTTATTAACGTATTTCATATGCATCTCATGCATTTATACATGCATATTGACCCATGACCAGATGGCGTTATATACGCGTATATATATGTATATCTGTGACGACCCAGCCAGTCGTCTCATGAGTTACCGGTCCGCTTCCCCCTTTTCTGCTTCTTTATGCATTGTTTATCCGTGTTTCGAGGTATCGGGTTGGTTGGATTGAATCCGGAATGGTTTTTGTGATGTTTGAGACACTTAGTCTCTTTTAAGAAGGTTTGAGTTGGATTAGTCAACCGGACGTTGACTTATGTGTTAGAGGGCTCGAATGTGAGTTCCGATGGTTCGGTTAGCTTCGGGGGGTGATTTATGACTTAGGAGTGTGATCGGAATGGGTTTTGGAGGTCCAGAATAGAATTAGGCTTGAATTAGCAAAGTTGAGTTTTTGGCGACTTCCGGTTGGTAGGTGAGATTTTGATCCAGGGGTCGGAATGGAATTCTGAGAGTTGCAGTAGCTTCGTTATGCCATTTGGGATGTGTGTGCAAAATTTCAGGTCATTCGGACGTGGTTTGGTTGGGTTTTTGATCGAAAGCGTATTTCGGAAGATATTTAGGAACTTAGGCTTAAATTCAATGTGATTTGATAGATTTGATGTTGTTTGAGGTGTTTTGATGATTGGAACAAGTTTGAATAAGGTTTTAGGATGTGTTGGTGCTTTTGGTTGAGGTCCCGGGGGCCTCGGGGTATTTTCGGGTGGTCAACGGAGAAAATTGGATTGTGTTGCAGCTGCTGAAGTTGCTGCTTTCTGATATTTTCGCACCTGCGGTTTGGGGGCCGCAGGTGCGGCGCCGCCTGTGCGAGGGAGAGGACCGCAGAAGAGGTTTTGTAAGCAGGTGTCTGGGACCACATATGCGGTAGGGGTCCCGCACCTGCGGAGTCGCAAATGCGACAAGAAGACCGCATATGCGGTTTGGGCTGTTTAATGAATTTCCGCAGAAGCGGATTTTGGACCGCAGATGTGGAAATGCCTGGGCAAAAGGTATATATTTCATACTTCGCGATTTTTGAAGGGTTTAACCATTTTTGAACTCGGAATTGGGAGCTTTGGGCGATTTTGAAGAGATAAATCAAAGAGGCTTCGTTGAGGTAAGGATTTTGGACTTAAAACACATTTCTATGGTATAATAACATGAATTAAGGCTGTAATTAGAAGGATTAAAGGGCCAGAAATGGAGGTTTAGGGCTTGAGTTTAAGAGGCCTTTAATGGGGGATTTGAGGGGTCATTTGGACTCCGATTTTGGTGTTCTTTATATGCATAGACTCGTGGGGAGATAAGGAACCCGTTGATGTGAAAATTTCTGAGTTTCGAGAAGTGGGCCTGGGGCTCGGGTTTTGCTAATTTCGGGATTTTTGGTATTTTTCGATTGTTTTCGCTTGGGCTTTGTTCCCTTAGCATATTGTGACGTATTCGTTCTGATTTTGGATAGATTCGACGTAGGTGGAGGCCAATTCGAAGCACAAAGGCGTCGCGAGCTAGGGATTTAGCCGGTTCGAGGTGAGTAATGCTTGTAAATGATGTTCAGAGGGTTTGAAACCCCGGAATTGCACATCGTAGTGCTGTGTTGAGGTGAGACACACGCTTGTTGACGAGCATGGGGTCGTACACTATTGGGGATTGTGACTTGGACCGTCCCGGTTGATGATTTTACCGCGTATTTGACTGAAACTTATTTGTTATCACTATGATTTGGGCTGAATGCCATATTTGGGCTTCGTGCCAATTATTTGAACCCTTCGGGGCTTTTTCTTGATATTTCCTCACTGTTTTGAATTACTACTGGAACTCAGTCATGTATTTTCCACTGTTTTACTACTCAGCCGGTTTTTACTCATTTTTGAGACTTAAATGATATTTTAAATGATGTTTTAGGCTGAGACACACCGTTTTACTATTGCCCGTGGGGCTTGTGTGTATTTTTGACTGAGTAAGGCCGAGGGCCTATGTTGAGAGGAGACATTGATACTGATTTGAGGCCGAGGGCCTGAGATATGTACGCCACGAGGTGGCTTGATTGATATGAGGCCGAGGGCCTAGTTGTGATGCCACGAGATGGTTTGTTATTGCGCTTGGGCCATAAGGGGCCCCTTCCGGAGTCTGCACACCCCCAGTGAGCGCAGGTACCC